ATATTTGAGTCATAAATATTAAATTAGAGATCTTTTTATTTTATTTGTTAAACTTATAAATATGTAGAAAAAAATTCACTGTCGTTGGTATTTGTTATTAATAAAAGCTTATATTGATATATATAGTTATATTTAAAAATCAAATTATGTAATCCGATTATCCCATAAATTGATCGTAAAACAAGATAAGGATTGTATTACCTATTATATACATAGGGGTTCAAAGTTAAAATGCAGAAATCTTATTTTCAATTTGAATGAAAGCTTTATTATTTTTTATGAAAGCTTTCTGATTTCATGAAATAGAGATACATATTTAATATTAAAATGTGCCACTTATTTGTTAACTTTGGAACCCCCCTAGTATTAAATGACTAACCATTGTGTAAGTTGTGACTCACGGACTGTTGCAACAGCTCTGTGACCATTGTATATCTGTAATTAAATGCATCATGGCTCAAGACTGCATTTGCAGTTCAATGACCACTTGATGGTAAAACTCTATGACTGCTAGGCAGTATTATTTGGAGCTATGTGCATTTACATGTGTGTAAAAAAAAAAAAAAAGCAAGGAAGAGGAAAAGAAATAGATGATATAAACGGTGAATGGTTCCCATCAATAAGCATTTAATATGAAATATGTACAACTAATGATACTCTTTGATTGCTATGTAAAATGAACATGCTAATGATTGAGCATGAATAGCCATACAAATAGTTGATTTATGGGTTTAACTCGAGATGTTTAATAATCGAATTTGGTGATCCTGTAAATGAAAGTTTATATAGTTAAGCTGGTCATCGAGAAATGCTAGTGGAATACCATGCTATGGAGAAACGAACCATATTCATATATATTTATTTTCAATATATAGTTTATAACATATGCATTAATAAAGTTAAGCTGATCGAGCAATAATAAAGTTTATCCGACAGGTCCTATGTGCGCACTGGACATTTTTAGTATATATTATTTGATCACTTTCTAATCATGTAATAACTCAATGTTCTGATTTTATTTCTTTTGTGTAACTCATAAAATTCATATTAGTGAAAGTTAAGGAAAAAAAGATTTAGCGAAGGAAAAAAGTAAAAAAAAAATTAAATAAAAAAAATGATGAGCGAAAGTGGAAAAGTAAGTGAACGTAAAAAAAAGTAAAAGTGAGTCTAATGAATAGAAAAACCGAATAATGTATACGAAAAATGACAGTTCTTACTTTGGACCTTACGGATAAAAATGTTATCAGTTAAGTTGTAATGAAAACTGATTATTCGTAGGGAACAATATAAATGATGTGCCAAAGCCATGTGATTTATATAGTAACCTAGCAATAAATCAGTTATCATCTACAACCTAACCAATAACAAGTACATAGTAGTTGTCATATTTATATTACGTGCTAGATCGTTTTACTTATTTGTGCAGGTGATACAAACCTAAAAGGAAATCCAATTTTATAAAAGTGCGTGAGATAAAAATTTAGGGTTAGAGCCTTGACTTTAGAGGTTATAGAACAGATTAACATTCTTTATATGTAAAATTTCATTCTTAACATTTTTAATTAGTGCACCGAGGTCGATTTAAATGCGTATTTTCATTTGTTTTCTTCTTTCGTACGTGTTCGAATTGTTGCATTCTCCGATTGGATATTTGCTCTTCAAGAGTTGGTTGTGTATTAGATGACTTTTAAAAAAACTGGATAAAAACTGGATTAAAAACTGGATATCCTAGCAATATCCATTATAAAAATCTGAATTAAAAAATATGAAAAAGGATAGCTATCCGGATATCCAGTTGGATATCTGGATCCAAGCACTACAATATATATTATACTTATTACATTAAATATTATAAAACTATATATAATATAGTATGGGCTACATGTAACCATAGGTTATATCTAAATTTATTCTTATTTAATAAATATAATAAATATTAAATTTAATATAAATATGCAATTTATATATTAAATTTAAAATTTAATTTACAATTATTTAAATAGGTTTAGATTATAGATTATATATCTAAGTCTTTATTCTTCATATGTAATTTAAAAGCAAGCTTTTCTTTATAAAAACTTTAATTGAATTTCAATAAAGTTAAAAACATAACCTTACTGTTAATGTTTAAAAAAAACAAATATTATTTAAAATTTTTATAATATTTTTTATTATATACAATAATTAGTAATTAAATTATAATATATTACTATAAAAATACATATATAATGTTAGATCTGAAATATGTTATTCATTGTTGTAAAATTATTATTATATAATTATTAAGTTACAATCCATCCAACTATAAAAATAATGCATATATTGCATATATTAATTATAATTATTATAATCAATATGTAATATAAGCAATATTATTATTATAAGCATTATCATTATTATAAGCACAATAATAGATATTACTATATGTAATACAAATATATAAGTTTGGAACCAGTTCTATTATATGTATAACATAATTTTGATAATTGCAATGTTGCTATCAAAAATTTTTGCCTATATGATTTTCTTTAATATTTCTATTTTAAGATAAAAAAGTTAAAAAGCTAATTCTGACCAAAAATTAGTAAACAATTTGTAACAACTTAATTAAAGAATTTTTGCTATATTACAAATCTTGCATATATTTAAGAATTGCATTATGACAATACAGCATTACAGCTTATGGCATATAATATTTATGACAAATTAGTAATTAATTCTACTATTTGATGAAATACTATAATGCTATAATTCAATAATTCTACTACTAACTATAGTCATGACTAAGAATGTCAACAGTCGGTCATAAGTCATGACTGAACTAACTGTGATTATAACTAATAGGTAATTTAAAATTTTTATATCTAACATTATTTAATTAATATTAGTTTATTTAAGTTACTGGATTCTACTATAATAAGCACTGTCCTCTCTACCTATTTTATTAAATGTCAGATTAGTAAAAACAACTTTGTTAATATCTTATTGTGATTTCTATTAATCTGATATTTTAAAAATGAGGGAGAACAAATGATGCTTATTTATGATAGAATATGATAAAGCTTTTTTGATTTAGAGTTAAAAAACTAATGCAGAATAAATTTATATTTAAATTATATAATCTGTAATAATATAATATATATAGTTAATAAAGTAATATTTTTTATAGATCAAATTTAATTCAATAATAGAGATTGAAAAAAATATAAATATAATAAATATAAATATGATAAATTGTCATTAATCATTATTTTCAAATATAATTGATATATGATATATGAATATTCATTTATTAAATATCATTTAATTAATTGGTTAAAGTTGTATATAACAATAATTTCGACACAATACTTATAATTAACCCTATTTTTGTATCATGATAATTATTTTACAGATCGTTACAATGATAAATAACAAAATATAGTATCGGTCAAACGGTCGGTTCGGTCGGTTCGGTCGGTCAGGATTTGTGACCGAACTGGTATCGGTCACGGCCATGACCAGTCATGACCAAACCGTTGACATTCCTAGTCATGAATAATCTAGCTACCACTACAATTAAGTTTTATAATTAATTTTAAATCTGTTCGCGATTATTATTTAGTAATTAAGTCTATAATATGTCTAAATGATTATTCTGACCAATGGTAGCGGATTTAATAATCAAGTAAGCCTTCCCTTCAACAAGAGCTTTATAATATTGATGCAAAATTACTCCCGGGCGTTGTTTTTAAATGAATAATTTCCAGAAAACTAAAAAATTAATTTTAAATATCTTTGCAAAATTAATTCTTAGTCCTCTGAAAATTGTGTTTCCAAATAACGACCCAGGCATTATTTTGCGGCATATTCAAAAAAATAATAATAAAAAAGCACGAAAAATAAATTTTGAAAAAAATTTTGGAACTAAATTTCCGGAGAATTTTAAAGTCAAAATATTATGTGACTGAACCCTCGATTGGTGGTGGTAACTCTGAGACTATTACTTAGTTTCCGTATCTATTTACATATACACTGAATTGTTATTGAATGTTTAGTCTATTTAGAATGGGATTAGAATTATAGACATAATATTTTTGGAATAATAATTTAGTAATGTGAAAATTTAAAACAAGATAACAATATAATTTATTAAAATCACTGTATAAATAGATAATTTAAGAACGTTATATAAAATCTTAGCAAAAATAAAAAAAAAAATATGCGATTTCAAAATTATGCAAATAGTAGATAACCTGCGATACGAAATTGAAATTTTTTATCTATTAACCATTAATTAAAAAAAGAAATAGAAATTATAAATATTTTCTTTAAAAATCGAGATATTAAATTATTATTCTGGGAGGAGAGCTTCCCCACAAGCTTTTATTTTGGATAGATCAGATCCGATTAAAACTCCAACGTAGTATTCTGCCGGAAGCGATGTTACGTTTAATAAATTATAGTGTTCGTCAAAGGTAATCGTTTTTGTTGGACATGTAGTATTCAAGCAAATATTTACAAACGGGCTAAGGAATATGGTGTCATTTGTAACTGCATCTACAATTGCAAAAATGATGGAATCACCAACAACGATGGCATCATCGGTCGTTGCTGAACCTTTAACTTCGAGATCAGAACCAGCTTCTGGAGGATCAGGGCTAAGTGTTACATTACTGATTACTGCGAGATCTTGTGATGCCCCCTGACATTGTCCAAACGTAGCAGCCCTTTTATTCAAATGATATGGAAAAGCATAGACCACGGAAAATGTAGTCAAAAAAACGAATAACAAGGCAAGTTTTCGGATCATAATTATTATTTTTTTTCAAAAATTAACGAAAAAATTTGTTCTACAAGAATTTTTGTGTGTAATTATTAGATTATTTTTTAGTTTTTAGTTTTTAAATTTTTTTTTGTTTTTGACTTCAGAATTGATGAAAAAAAAGAGTTTACATGATTTTTCCGACGGTTGTCAATTAAAAAGTCTTACAATAAAAGGAATATAATTTCAACTTACCAGATTTAATCCAGATGAAATCTCAAAGCAAATTAACACGAATTTTTCTGAAAGTAAACATTAATAAACAAATTTATGAAATTTGATATTCATTAAAATCTCATGATCGAGTGGAATAGTGAAAGCAGATACTTATAATGTCGGATTCAACTAACCATAAGAATATAGTACCATTTCATTTTAATCTTACGTAGTAATAAATTTTTTTTTTACCATATAGGAATGTACAAATAACTTTTTGAATTAACTAACAATGGTATATACTTACATAGTGATGTGCATCATGCGCATAAGTATATTTTGGAATGTCATAATTCTGGTCGCATTAACCGCGAACTACCGTAATTCGGGCCATAATTACATGCACATGAAATTTGCAAAAATGCTAATTTGCACATCACTATATGGGGTGCCGTCAGTCAAAACGTCCCATAGTGAGATTATTAATATGTTACACAAAATGATAAAAAATCAGAA